GCTTCAGTCAAATCCCGGAGAAGAATCCAGTACCGTGGATCCTCGCATTTGCGAGAATGGGCATTTTGACAAGGCCGTTCACGAGATCCTGCGCAAGACCATTGTCTGCTGGATAGCTCTCACGCAAGTTTCAACTTGAGCGCCGCCAGGAGCATGTTTGAGAGCATGAAGATGCGCTGGACCACCAACGCTCAAAACGCTTGAAGGACAAAATCAGGAGTCAGAACCATACTCAGGTGCTTCAATCCCTTTCGAAAGCTTCCACAGTCAGACCGTTTGCTTCTACATCCCAAAGAAACCAGGGGATACCTCCAAACCATTCAAACGCCATTTCAGCAGCATTCACTCTCTGCGTTATCTCTTTGGCTTCTTCCGATCCACTCTCGTAGTCTGTCACGCGTTTCCTCCATGCTACCTTCCCTATATGTGGTAGCTGTATCTCAAAATCAAACCCTAATTCCCTATTATATCCTACCATCAAAAGTTGATAGGGTAGAAATTTAATTTAAGTATCACTGACACGAGGACCATATGATTTGACAAGTTATCATGAACCACTGAGAATATAAATGAGTATGCATTAGTCTTGAATCTAGTAAGTGCATCCCTTTTGAAGGTCAGGACTCTTTACACATATTAGTTATAGAATTACTATAGTTATCTGAGTAGTAAGGTACTATCAAATAAACTATTATTTATTTAATAAGCCATTCACAATTTCACAATATAAAACAATTTATATTTATACATTCATGGCTTAATCTTTGAGACAAGCATATGACTACTAATAAGATCAACTAAGTAGTTAATGCAAAGCACATATGTCCTAGCACCCAAAGATGCAGTAAAGGCAATGTATAACTAGCATCAACTAAGATGGCATAGTTGTAAGGTTCATATTTCAAGTGCCAAGGGGTAGCCAAAGCCCTCAATAGCTGAGTGAAGCTTATGCACAATAAGAAAATATGCACACAGCCTTTAATCATCTTGGCTGGACTTGGACTTGACCTTGGCTATCAAATTAATAAGCCTCTACTTGAGCATCAATCCAAAAATAATAATTGAGCTATAATGAAACCTCTTTATGATGCAATTTCATAAGGTTTCTCATGCCCTTAGATCTTACTATATTTGAAACTAACATAGTCTTGCTCATGCTTTGGATGATAAAAAATTGGATTACCTTGTGCTCACACAACTACTACCATTTTTTAACTCTCTGCTATTACTTGATTCTTATCATAAAACACATGCAAGTGTACTTTATCCTAGTGCTTGGTATGTTGCTACAAAAAATTCATAAACTTCTGGGACACCCACAAACAAAAAAAGTTTGTAATGAAGATCTTAAGAAAGAAAAATTAGAATTTTGTTGTGGGCATTATAGCAAATGTAGTTATAATTGACACATATACACTATACCAACTTGAAGTTTTAAAACTTTTTATTAATTTCTCATCATTTTTTAGCCATAAGCATTTTTATATTTATTTTTTATTAATATTTTTTTATTTTTATAAAAAAAATTTATACTTCACATTTTTGCAAACTTTAAACAATTTTAAAACTTCCACATCATATATATGATAATAATACAGACATAAGAATGAGCCAAGTAAAGGCGTGTGTCTCTCTTCATACTTGCTTTGTAGAGCTTGACTTTGTATCTCCAGGACCCTGGCTCAAAAGAATTGCGACAAGGAGCATGAGAAAGTAGCGACCTCGATCACGCCTATTTCTGGACTGGTCAAAGTATTAAGTGTTGAGAACCGGTTTGTCTCTTGACTCGAGAGTTACCTGGTTAATTTGAGTTGCATGATATAAATATATGTGAAGATCCACTTGCGCCTTACTGGGAGGATCACGTCCTTGGCATGTCCCCAAACGCTACCTTGGCTGAAGCAGACACTGCAAGGCCACAGCCATGCAGAGTATAAGATCGATAGAAACTCTTTGAAAAAACTTAAGTAAAAAGCATCTTGCCTCTGGAGGAACTTGTCAAAGCAGCTTGAGAATTAGAAGAAAACTTTCCGGAATGAAGATTGACACTAAAATATCAAACTGAAACCAACGTTGGAAAAGCAAGAAAGATAAAGCAAGTGTTACCTGTATGAAGTCTAGATATATTGATTCGATAGAAAATCGACAATAAAATGATTTACAATTAGAAAATATACTAGATAGAGCTCAAAGTACCTCTAGTGTCAGTGTCTTTCTCTCACATTTTTCTTTTCTAAGGAAGAAGTTTTATCCTAGTCTGTTGTAATGCCTGAAATCCAATCCACAGATATTTGTTGATACTAGTTAAATCTAATTAACATGGTACGCTCTCACCACCACCAGCTAGCACATATCGGACAGTATGCGTTTGGGAGCTCTTCCAGGTAGACGCTGCTATGAAATTATCTGAAAATCGAAAATCAGACGCATTCATCTCAGGCAGGACAAGGAAAGTCATGCAAGAAGAAGTGCACTGATCTAATAAGCAATGCTAAGAGAGGGGTATGATACCAGAAATTCATGGCCGTCCAAGGTATGATCAAGATCAGCTACAAGCTCGATGAAATGCCGGTGATCCTGTCCCTGCCGCTCCCTACCCTAGCTAGATCCAAAGAGAAACGCTCCTTTGGGGGTCATGAGCAATCGGAAGAAACTGAAGTTCGCGAGTATGAAGTGTTCTTATGGTTTGCAGTTCCCTGTTCTTTGTTGTTTATCAAGCTTGCAGGGAGGCCTTGCACACGACGAGTTCTTGATCATGTTCCTGCATGACAATTTTTCCCCAGCTTAATTTTCATTGTGAAGACTTGGGGATGGAGCGGAACAGAGGGGGCCCTAATCCTTGTCAAGCAACAAGGCAAACACTGTTTCGAATAAGAAAAAACGACAGGAATGCTTCTTCGTTTTTTGTTTTGGAGGGGTTCTCCTCAAAGAGGAAATCCCCAAGAGAGGGCTGGGTAGCTGGTCTTCGATCCTGCTTGTTAGTAGTTTCACACAATCGAAAATCCTACATCTAAGTGTGGGGCAGCCGGGGACTTCGATTCCCCGACTTCCTCTCGCTTTGGCCGCCTCAACGTACTGTGCAAAACAGTAGCGACAGCCCAAAACGAATACTGAGTAGCCACGTTGAGAATGGGCACCCCACCAGTGTGCATTTTGATGGTTTGAGAAAAACATAACGCCTCCTCCCCCCAGCGCCGCCGCCAACAGCAAAACCAGCCCCCTCAAAACTTACCCTAAACACTAGCCTTTAGATATATTTACACAGCATCCTAACCGTCAGATTAGCTGATCCGATGGCTGTGAATTGTTTAAATCTAAGCTAACGAAAAATGCATGGTTAAATAAAGAAACTCATTAAAGTAAATGCGATAGTAACTATTAACTCATAAAGGTTGGAGCAAAGTTAATTTTAAGGCGGATTTTTTTTTTTTACTTTTAATATTCCTTTTCTTTAACTTTTTAATTTCACCTAAAACACCATCTATTAAATATGGCCTCGCTGGTGGCAGAAACTGTGGTAGAGCAAGGCCTAGAGCTGGTCATAGCTGGAGGGGCATGTTGCTCCATGTCGAAGTAGAAAGAAACTGCTGATGCCTCACAAATGCCAGCTCGCAATGAAGAACAGGCGAAGGATGGATACGTTGCTTCCATTCGGCAGCTTTCTTCTGCCTGGTTGCAAGCTCTGTGAATGAGAATGCTCTGTGAAGTTACAAGATTTTCTTGATTTGTTTCATGAATTCTTTCGTCACTAGTGTGTACGTGTGCTCTGTTGGGTGAATTAAATCCCAGAAAACATAATCACTTGGATTCTTGCACAGCCCGCTCAAGGTATTTTTGTGTGATAGGCAATTGGGGCAACAACCCCCTCCATTCTGGAATCCAAACTTATTTGGGTTCTCCACGTACGATTTGATCAGTGAATAGCCGTCAACAAATGCACCTCTCATCCCTGGGAATTTCTTTGCCACCCCCAAAACAATCGCCCGAGCTTGCCAATTGAATTGTTCTACTAAATCGTTGATCTCTCTCACACAATTTCCATCCGACGTGACAATAGGCACACAGCCTAACGGCCCAAGGCTAGAGTAGACAATCTTCCTGAATCCATATTTATAAAGTTGCTCCAAGCCTTTCTCCAATAACACTAGCATTGCTTCCAAGTCTACATTAGCAAGGTTTTGAAGATTTGCCGCAATGTCATTGCCACCCGAAGATATCACAACCACAAAGTCATTGAGATTCATCATGGGGATCTTGTTGGCTAGCTGTCCAAGTTGTTTTAGCTGCTCATTAAACGACACGACACCCCAGTCTGAGTGAGTAGAATCAAGCAGTCCACTACCGTCTGACGCAAAGTTGATGCTTAGTGGAAGTTGGCTCCCACCTTTCAAGCCCAAGAATGGTTTTGAAAAGGGCAAACCGATCACTTTGTTTATCAGATCTGGTATTAGAAACCCATCGCTACATCTTCCTGATGGCTGGTTATACCTTGTCTTCCCATACGGCACAAAATCACAACGAGAAACAGAGTTCTTCACGTACTTGTTAGTTCCAACATCAAAGATTGAGTCTCCCATGTAGATAGTCCGAAGTTGAGGAACCGACCTCCCATACACGCACGCGCAGAGAGCCAAGATCGCAAACACCAACACTAAAATCTTCGTCATCTCGCCAAAACCTTCACGAGAGAACCTAATACAGAAAGCCCGTTTATATAGTGAAACGAGAAAAAGGTGAACCTACCTTTACAGCTGCGCTTCATGCCTTTTTGGATTAGAAAGAGCCTTGAACAAGTTTTTGTCGCTCTTCTTCTTCTAGCTCGCCAGTAGATGCGATTCACAAGGATTTCTCCATGCCACTCGCATCATTGGCTAGAACAGGGAAATGGAGCTCTCCTTTGCGCAAAGGCGAAGGATTAAGCAAGCAAAGTCAACACTCGATAACCCATAAAAATAACTCTAACGTAAAAAGGCTATAGGGCTTAGGGCTGTGCTGTGGCGATGGAGGCAGTGATAGTCGAGCCGCCCCAGGATGCGACTCCACGTATCGTGTGCTTGCCAGAGCTAGGGAGAGTGCAGGAGCGAGTTGTGCTAATTTTCCATGCAGCTTATCCGGACGTAAGAGATGTGCACCTCTATTCTGTACATCTCGAACTTCTCAAGTTACGCCGATCTCGACTCATGGATCACATTCGAGCATCTCTGGAGCTGTCAACATTCGGTACTCCACGAGCTCTGGAGCTCGCATTCACAAAGTAAGAGTATGTGCATTGTACTTTTCAAAAAAATATCGGTGGTTCTTTTGCAGGATGAATGAAGAGCTGCGGGCTCTGGTAGGATCATCAGATTGCCGGGTATGTGGTAATCTCTCTTCTTGTCAGATGGATTATTGCTGTTTCTGTGAATGTTTACTTTGGTTTTATAGGATTGGTGTGCGCAAAACAGGTCCTTGGTGGTGGTGCTTGGAGACGCACATGTGTATGTATTTGGCCAGGCCCTTGCATTGGTGATACTGTGCCGAAGTGGAAAGGACGAAAAGCTAACCCGTCCAAGTTCTCTCTACCGTCTCAAAAATGCTAGCCCCCCGCAAAGTAGCAGTCAACTTTTTTATTACCACAAGGTACTTACTCTTTTGTTGAAATTTGTTATTCTGAAAGTGTGTGCACACAGGAGCGGCTGACTACGGCAGACACTTACCTAATCGTTGCGTCGAGACACCTAAATTATCACATGGATAGCGATTTTACAAGCGTTTTCACCACTCGGATCGACGCACTTGTGAGTATTGTATGCTTCTGATCCGCAAACGAGATTGTAATGGGCGAACTAGTACAGGGCCTCGAGGAAGCTTGCCGCCAGATTGCCGACGTAGGGTCTGATGATTGCAGGACATTCGCAGTAGTTCCTGTTGGAGAGCTGCTGCGACAGAAAGTGGCCAATGGAGTGACTCAAGAGGTGAGTGGACAGCTACACAGCGCCGCAGAGGACATAGAGGGAAACCCAGTCGATATAAATCCCGAGCCTGCGGACGAATCTGAGTCTGAAGATGAAGATGTGCCTGAAGACCCGGATGAGTCTGAAGACGAACAAGCGATGGAGTTATATGATGTTAGACCCGATGGTTTCCTTCCCCTAGGTACGTACAGTACATCAATTATAGCTATATAACCTTATTTCTGTTTTCAGTCAATGGGAACCCTCAAGTACCCGAACCATTTACCTCTTGCAAGCCCGGACCTCCCAGGGACCCCTGCATAAGAGTGATGGACCTCAAGGTTCAAATCTACCTCTCATTTTGTTTGTTTATCTGAGTTTGTGGTTTGAGATTTAGTGGCTTTTGATCAGGAAAAGGACCTCAAGCTTGTTTGTAAAGTCGGCTCTTGCAAGTTCGTGATTAAAAACGGGGACATAAAAGAGTGGTTTGTAGACGGAAAGAATGACGCTATTGTAGTTCCTGTTGGAGGTCAGATACACAGAGGTAAAGCAAAGGGGTGTTTGGCATTTGACATGAGCTTTTCTCTTTTCAGAAATATGTATTGCTACTGGTTTCTTTACTGGCTTGGATATCATGTAACTGTCTTTCCTCATTTCCTTTTAAAACTTTTAACTGACTTGTTTCTCAGCCCTTCAGGAGGACTGCCAGCACCTAAAATCATTGTTATTCAAGGCCCAAAATACTACAAAGACAGGGACATGGAAGCTGCTGAGTATCTTGGTCTCACTTACAGGTATGCCAGAGTGTGTAGCAAATTTGATACATTGTGCTTTGTCTATTACAGGAACGCTATAACACTTGCTTGCAAGGAGGGCGTTAAGCACATAGCGTTCCCAGCTATCTTGTGCGGATATGGCGGGTTTGTACTCACACCTTACCTCTTGTATACTGAGTTCGCATTGTGTTTCAGGTTTCCTCTGGATAAAGCGGCAAGGATTGCTGTAGAAAGCGTACAAAAGGCACTCAAAATTGCTAAAGTGTCCATTGAGGTAAGCTTCCCTGGATTAGACATGCCTTTGTTATTCTGTGTTCAAAATTGTAGGTTCACTTTGTCATAAAGGACGAACCCACCTGGAGAGACTGGGTAGCTGCAACAGACCTCCTTGCATTTAAGGATTATGATCGTTACATATCTTGTCGGTGCAACAGACCTCCCTTTCCAGTCACTTCTGAAGGCATTCCAACTTTTTTTAGCTGTGATTGAGAATAGGTCATCATTGTCTCGCCACATCCAAGTCAACATCTGATAATCTATCACCTATTGAATATATTGACAGACTAAGCCCAATCATACTTGCATTCAAACAGGTACGATTAAAAAAAACTGCAGTTTAAAACGAGCGAATAATACGGCGTTTAAAACGGCATTTAAACACCAAGAATATTTTAAAGAAAACCCTAAAGAATATGCTTTCTTTTACTTAGATTAGGGTTCATGTAAAATCAGGGTTCGCGGGATCCAGAAGCGCTAAGGTAAGTCCAGGATGGGGGGAGGAAGGCAGCCATGCTGGAGCTGGGCTTATGTTCTAAAACTAAGGCCGACATCTGAGACAAGCCATGAATATGCATGTCGTATAGAAGATCAAGTCCGGGAGTTTGAGGCTTATCAAGCATGATCTTGATAACCTTGAGTTTGAGCCTCAGTGGCAAAGGATCCTTGCACTTCAGGAAGTTGTTGAAGAACCTCTTCAACAACCTAATGATGACAGTGCTAGTGGTGATGATGTTCTAGATTCGGAGGATGAAGATTAGATTAAACCTATATTATATTATGTTAAACTTTGTTTAGTAACAGTTAATTATTTTTTAATTATATTAAAACTGAAAACCACTATACCCATTCGAATAAAAGCTAAACAGGTATTAAACGTTCGATACCCATTCAAATCCAGTTGAGTTCGAATGATCAGATGCAAGTATGAGCTCAATATTGTAAGGGTTTTTAACATTAGCAAGTGCAAATTAACAATATAAATTTCTTATCACCAATGTCAAATATGCTAGGCTAAATTATAATTTAGGATTTCTTTCTTTAGTGCCCTTTTGGTCTAAATGCATATATATTAATTAGTTTCTTAATTAGCTCAAGTGGAGATTGATAAAGAGTCTAATAATACTAACCTTTTTGCCATTATGACAGTAAAAGAAGAATATTCAAAAAGTCTTACTAACAGACAACTTTTGATACTATTTATGATATGTTCTCTCCCCTTTAAAAAGATTGACATTCTTATTGATGCACACTTGAGACTATTGCCAAAGGAACAACTCTAGAAAAAATTCATGATATTCATATTTTGTGAGAAATGCATTAAGTTAAATAGGTTATATTGTTGATAATCATTGCCAAATAGAATAGAATGGCATATAATTATTAGCAATAATAATTATTTATAATATTTAATAAGGATAATCAACTATCCCAGATGATCAAGAACCAAAAACTCAAAGAAGTTTATAACTAAATTCTATATAATAACAATCATAAGTGTCATACTGACTAACTTCAATGTTTAAAAAGAAATCATAATATAACCTATAATTTCCACCTTAGCAAATTCACAGGCCAAAACTTCATAATGCAAAAGCTAATAAAGAGTATATCTATATTAATTTAAAAGCCATGCTCAACAAGTGATCATGAAACCATCTTTTATAAATTTTAACATATAACACACTTTATAACAAGTGCAATGAGAATCATCAATAATCAATAATTTCAAACTCAAACCAAAAAGGATCTAACAAGTTTAGTATTAATCACTAATTCTTCATTTTGCAAAACTAGCTAATTAAGTCACTTTTCAAAGAAAAGGCAAAACTCAACCCTACTAAAAACTTTCATCTATAATATAGCTAACCCAACTTACCACTCAATTTATTAAATGTCAATATAATTGCTAACTAGCAAATGCATGAATATTAACAACATAAAGCTACAACCAAATCACCAATATTATCTTTGTCAAAACTTGTGAAGCAAATTATCAATTTCCAATGAGGCTTAATTAATCACTAACTATCTGAATAATTATAGATCAAAAATTTATCTTTTGCAATATATTTATGAAGAAATATCTCATTTCACTCTAATATCAACTCTACCAATGTTAATGTCAAGGTTTTAACATTGACATAAGCATGCACTTGTCAAGCTCATCAATGTAATGCATGTGCAGCCCAAAACATCTAAGGGCATCACAAATCTATTATTGCTTCAAACTTCTATCCACCAAAAGTAAATAGCCTCCCTAAGAAGCTAGCTTGGAGAAACACTAGTTACTAGGTTGAGGTCTAATTTGTTAATAAAATTAACCAAACAAATCACTTCACCAACTAAGAAATTACCACCTATAGAATCAAGAAAGAGCTCTTAATGTATTAATTCTTACTATGGCTAAACTTAGTAAGTTTCTTCATCAAACCACAAGCTTCACTCCAAATAATACCCTTCCATCAATTCCTTTAAGTTTTAGCTTTGCAACCATACTCCTCTTGGAACTCAAAGACTTTGATTTTTCATGAGGTGATGGCGTTGTCATCCAAATAACATCTGCCAATCCCTAATCATCATCATCTATGGTTAAGACTAAAATGGTATTTAATCGTATTTGAGCTCCTAATTTTCATTCTTGATTAATAAAAGCATCATGTAGTGCATGTGATCATGGGATGAGATTTGGATATACTGTCATCGTGGATCCTTAGAACCTTAGGGGATAAATGGGGATAAAATAGCCACTAAGGGCTCTCTCATTAAGTAATTGCTCCTTTTCCAGTTGGCTTAAGGGGAGAGAGATAAGGTGCGTTATAGTTGGTATCGGAACAAATGGCACGGGTTCGATTCCCATTGATTAGTGGTTACTTAAAAATATAATATACCCTTGAGTAAGATATATTTTTACCCCTAAATTTGAAATTGTACATATTGGGCGTCCTTCCTCTTGTGTGAACCTCAAACGGATTTGCAAAAAAATCCAGACTTGGGTTTGCAAATCTAGACTTGGGAATCTTCATTGTGCCTCGGCCACCCCCACCCCGCCCTCTTGCATCTCAAATCTGGGAATATTTTCAACGACTGGACGAAGTATCCATGGACGAAAGTATCCACCGTGGGACTGCAGTATGGGTGGATGACTAGTTGCCTCACATGGAATACGGCATGGAATACAGACGAAGGTATCCACCATGGGACTACGGTACGGGTGGATGACTAGTTGCTTCATATGGAATACGGACGAAAGTATCTACCGTGGGACTGCAGTACGGGAAATGGAGGTGTTGGTTCCCCTTGGCTCAATAGGGGGTTGTTAGTCAATAGTCAATAGTCAATGAGGACATTGACATCTCTAAAGGGGGGTGAAAGGGGGGGTGAGTGTAGCGCATGTGATCATGGGATGAAATTTAGATATACTGTCACCATGGATCCTTGAAACCTTGGGGGATAAATGGGGATAAAATAACCATTAAGGGCTCTTTCATTAAGCAATTGCCCCTTTTCCAGTTGACTTAAGGGGAGAGAAATAAGGTGTGCTACACATCCTCAGCAAATGCTTAAGAATTTCATCTCTAACAATAGAGTACAAATGCCCCTAATTGTCCCTACTAATCATTACTCATATCTTGGAGAGTACAAATGCCCCCAATTGTCCCTACTAATCATTACTCATATCTTGGAGACCAACACAACAAGATCAGAGTCCTATTACATTATTCCATACTAATGTATTTAGAGTATAAGTCTGTTTTGAGCACTTTAATTTTTTCAAAATAACATTGTCGACTCCACACCCTAGCCAGTAAAGATCAAATTAGCATCATTGACTCATAGAATGGGGTGACTAGTGCATACAGGGAAACCATTCATCTTGTCTTGAGATCCAAATGAGCTTTTTCAACTATAATAACATGTTATTAGAATTAGAATTACTATAGCTATTGGCACTAGACTTGCCCTCTAATGAATCTTCCTTAAGAGATTTATATTATACTCATTCCAATTACCAAATTTTGAAAGCCCGATATTATTATTTATTGTCAGTACCTCCCAATGTCAGAATTGGATAATTCGTGCGTTTGCTACCTTCCCTGGATGTGGTAGCTATGTCTCAAAATCAAACCCTAATTCCCTATTACCTATCACCACTATGATAGCCATCAAAAGTTGATAGGGCAGAAATTTAATTTAAGTATCACTGACACGAGGACCATAATGCTTTATTTCGTTAAAGTGGGACTTTTCATTATCCCACTTATGGTGTGTGGCCACATGCCATTTTTATAATAACAATAAAAAATTGAAGTTTTAACTTTATAATTTATAAATTAAAAACTTTTCATATGATTTTGTGTTATAATATTGTGAAATATAAAAAAATAAATTAAAAAACTGATAGAAATATTAATAAATATTAATTAAGTACTAGGAAATGGCATGTGGACACATGCTAATTAATGTCCCACTTTACTGAATAAGTCCCACTTTAACGAAATAAAGCATCATATGATTTAACAAGTTATCATGAACCACTGAGAATATAAATGAGCACACATTAGTCTTGAATCTAGTAAGTGCATCCCTTCTGAAAGTCAGGACTCTTTACACATATTAGTTATAGAATTACTATAGTTATCTGAGTAGTAAGGTACTATCAAATAAACTATTATTGATTTAATAAGCCATTCACAATTTCACAATATAAAACAATTTATATTTATACATTCATGGCTTAATCTTTGAGACAGACATATGACTACTAGTAAGATCAACTAAGTAGTTAATGCAAAGCACATATGTCCTAGCACCCAAAGATGGAGTAAAGGCAATGTATAACCAGTATGGCATAGTTGTAAGGTTCATATTTCAAGTGCCAAGGGGTAGCCAAAGCCCTCAATAGCTGAGTGAAGCTTATGCACAATAAGAACATAGGCACACAGCCTTTACTCATTTTGGCTGGACTTGGACTTGACCTTGGCTATCCTCTACTTGAGCATCAATCCAAAAATAATAATTGAGCTATTATGAAACCTTTTTATGATGCAATTTCATAAGGTTTCTCATGCCCTTAGATCTTACTATATTTGAAATATAGACACAAGAGCATACTTGTGTGGTTAACATACTAACATAGTCTTGCTCATGCTTTGGATGATAAAAAATTGGATTACCTTGTGCTCACACAACTACTACCATTTTTTTAACTCTATGCTAACATATGTTACTTACTTGATTCTTATCATAAAACACATGCAAGTGTACTTTATCCTATTGACATTAAACATTTGGAAGTGCTTGGTATGTTGCTACAAAAAATTCATAAACTTCTGGGACACCCACAAACAAAAAAAGTTTGTAATGAAGATCTTAAGAAAGAAAAATTAGAATTTTGTTGTGGGCATTATAGCAAATGTAGTTATAATTGACACATATACACTATACCAACTTGAAGTTTTAAAACTTTTTATTAATTTCTCATCATTTTTTAGCCATAAGCATTTTTATATTTATTTTTTATTAATATTTTTTTATTTTTATAAAAAAAATTTATACTTCACATTTTTGCAAACTTTAAACAATTTTAAAACTTCCACATCATATATATGATAATAATACAGACATAAGAATGAGCCAAGTAAAGGCGTGTGTCTCTCTTCATACTTGCTTTGTAGAGCTTGACTTTGTATCTCCAGGACCCTGGCTCAAAAGAATTGCGACAAGGAGCATGAGAAAGTAGCGACCTCGATCACGCCTATTTCTGGACTGGTCAAAGTATTAAGTGTTGAGAACCGGTTTGTCTCTTGACTCGAGAGTTACCTGGTTAATTTGAGTTGCATGATATAAATATATGTGAAGATCCACTTGCGCCTTACCGGGAGGATCACGTCCTTGGCATGTCCCCAAACGCTACCTTGGCTGAAGCAGACACTGCAAGGCCACAGCCATGCAGAGTATAAGATCGATAGAAACTCTTTGAAAAAACTTAAGTAAAAAGCATCTTGCCTCTGGAGGAACTTGTCAAAGCAGCTTGAGAATTAGAAGAAAACTTTCCGGAATGAAGATTGACACTAAAATATCAAACTGAAACCAACGTTGGAAAAGCAAGAAAGATAAAGCAAGTGTTACCTGTATGAAGTCTAGATATATTGATTCGATAGAAAATCGACAATAAAATGATTTACAATTAGAAAATATACTAGATAGAGCTCAAAGTACCTCTAGTGTCAGTGTCTTTCTCTCACATTTTTCTTTTCTAAGGAAGAAGTTTTATCCTAGTCTGTTGTAATGCCTGAAATCCAATCCACAGATATTTGTTGATACTACTTAAATCTAATTAACATGGTACGCTCTCACCACCAGCAGCTAGCACATACCGGACAGTATGCGTTTGGGAGCTCTTCCAGGTAGACGCTGCTAGGAAATTATCTGAAAATCGAAAATCAGACGCATTCATCTCAGGCAGGACAAGGAAAGTCATGGAAGAAGAAGTGCACTGATCTAATAAGCAATGCTAAGAGAGGGGTATGATACCAGAAATTCATGGCCGTCCAAGGTATGATCAAGATCAGCTACAAGCTCGATGAAATGCCCGTGATCCTGTCCCTGCCGCTCCCTACCCTAGCTAGATCCAAAGAGAAACGCTCCTTTGGGGGTCATGAGCAATCGGAAGAAACTGAAGTTCGCGAGTATGAAGTGTTCTTATGGTTTGCAGTTCCCTGTTCTTTGTTGTTTATCAAGCTTGCAGGGAGGCCTTGCACACGACGAGTTCTTGATCATGTTCCTGCATGATTGAATCAAGGTCAATTTTTCCCCAGCTTAATTTTCATTGTGAAGACTTGGGGATGGAGCGGAACAGAGGGGAGGCGCCCGTGAGCCCTAATCCTTGTCAAGCAACAAGACAGAAACTGTTTCGAAGACCAAAAAAACGACAGGAATGCTTCTTCTTCGTTTTTTGTTTTGGAGGGGTTCTCCTCAAAGAGGAAATCCCCAAGAGAGGGCTGGGTAGCTGGTCTTCGATCCTGCTTGTTAGTAGTTTCACACAATCGAAAATCCTACATCTAAGTGTGGGGCAGCCGGGGGCTTCGATTCCCCGACTTCCTCTCGCTTTGGCCGCCTCAACGTACTGTACAAAACAGTAGCGACAGCCCAGAACGAATACTGAGTAGCCACGTTGAGAATGGGCACCCCACCAGTGTGCATTTTGATGGTTTGAGAAAAACATAACGCCTCCTCCCACGCCGCCTCCTCCCAGCGCCGCCGCCAACAGCAAAACCAGCCCTCTCAAAACTTACCCTAAACACTAGCCTTTAGATATATTTACACAGCATCCTAACAGTCAGATTAGCTGATCCGATGGCTATGAATTGTTTAAATCTAAGCTAACTAAAAATGCATGGTTAAATAAAGAAACTCATTAAAGTAAATGCGATAGTAGAGCAAAGTCTAATCGTATTAATTTTAAGGCGGATTTTTTTTTTACTTTTAATATTCCTTTTCTTTAACTTTTTAATTTCACCTAAAACACCATCTATTAAATTATATTTGAGGTTTTGAACGATCCCAGAGACGTTGCAACCACCCTCATATGCCTGTGTGCCAGCTTGCCAAGACCATCGTCGTGCAAAGTAGCTATACCCATGGCAGATACCTCTTCCCATTTTGGAAACATCTCAAGCATCGGATGCGGTTGGATGTTCCATAGTCACAACAACATGCTTGTCCTTCTCCATTTTCGACATGTTGCAGTCGATGCGTTGATTGAACATGCTCCAATGAGTTCCATGATGGCATCCTGCAGTTTAAGCTTGTTTGGACAATGAAAGAAAGCTGGAAGAATGGGAAAGTGAAATCATTCTCGGTAACTCCAACCCCAGGCCACCTCATCGTCAGGAGTGTTTCCAGACGTTTGCAAGCTTGTCCGAGGCTCAAAAGCCTTGCCTTGAGTGCACCTCTCGATCAGCTGTGCAACCGAGTAGAGAGACTCCCGGAACGAACCATGCTTCTTGCGTGTAACTCCACTTGAAGTAATTTGAAGAAGCTAGCTGGTCATTCTCCAATTCTAGAGAGCTCCTTCTCCCGAGCAATCACCCCAGTTTTCACATATGTAAGATCCTCCTGTTCCTGGGAAACAAATGGGTTGGCACTTGCCGGAAAAGAAATAACTTCTGGAATCGCCTCCAAGTCAGGAGGTTCTTCACACAGCAGCCTTCGATTTGCATCGTCCCACAGTCAAAAGAAGATCTGGGATTTAGTAACTAGAAGCCCTATCCCATGTGCCCAAAGCTCTTCGCTTATCACTTCCCTGGCCTCCACATCCTCAAATGTCTGCTAGGAGACACTAGATAAACATGGCAACAACTACAGAGAAGATTAGCATGGTCCCTTAATGGAGAAATGGTGTGAAGTGTTTTTTCCTTGCTCCCATGTAGACTTGCATATCCAGGATCGTCAACTAGCTCCGGCCTTGGACCTCTCGAGCTGCGGCACGCACACCCGAAACGCCGAGACTGTCACCTCCTTCGCCGAGTACACTCAACCTTTGATTGATTTCCTCAGCAAAGTGCAAGACAAGGTGAGTGGCAAATGATTGAGAAGTACAAACGCGAGCGACAGTGACGGCCGCTCTCTCAGTCTCTTGTTCTCCGCGAGAAAAATTCTCTGGAACAGTTTCTGACGCTCTCTTTCGTTTGATGCTACAGGTTGTGCTCGTCGGCCACAGCTTGGGAGGGGTGAGCGTGGTCCACGCCTCGGAACAGTTCCCGGAGAGGGTTGCGGTGTCGGTATACATCGCCGCTGCCATGTTTCCAGTGGGACTACAAACGCAGGAGGCCGAAATCAATTTGGTAAGCGAGCTGCTCTTTCTTTCTTCTTTGTTTTTCACCCCCAAGTTTTAATGCAATTGCTGTGGTCCTTGCTGTTTCAAGGTGCGCGCAACAGAGTCTTTCCCTGACAAGATGCACTTTACATTCGCAAATGGAGTCGAAAACGGACCGACGACTGTCATGGTCTGGAAGGATTTTGTCTGTGAGGCGTTTTATCATCTCTCACCAGCAGAGGTACTTACTTCTTTATACATTGCCTTTTATCCCTTCTCTCTCTCGAGTACTGCTTGCCACTTATAGCCCGATAGCTATGGTTTCTTTCTAGCTTTACTTTCAGGACGTTGCGCTCACGTCGATTCTCTTGAGGCCTTCACCAATCGTGGCGGTGTCCAAGGTAAACTTTAGCACTTCTAAGAGAGGCTATGGATCCGTGCCAAGGGTGTACGTAAAGACGGAGAAGGACAGGTCGTTTAGCCCCAAAGAGCAGCACATTGCTGTGACCAAGAGCTTGACGGACAAGGTCTACAGCATAGAGTACCATTCTCCTTTCTTCTCAGCTCAAGAGTTGCATTAACTTCTGCTCCAGATTGTGGCAGACTTCTGTCAATGAAAACAAAAATTTTTATTCAAAGAAAAAAATATAATATATTTTGATTTTAGATCAAAACTGGAATGTTTGTTATTGAAAATTTCATGCTAGTTTCCAGATTTCTGGTGTCTCAATTTAAAAGTTGTGATTTTATCCGTTCACATAAGCCCTACAAAACGATTCCTAAAGCTCCATAAACTGAAACTAGTGTTTACTATTAATTTTCTCACTTATCACTACATGTTTACATCAAAGTTGGCTGCAGATCATATATAACTTTCTTTCAACTCCTGCAAAGCTCTGCCCAGAAAGACAAAAGTGACAAGCTCCGCCGGAGCTCCGCCAGAGCTCTCCATTGCAAGATCTCAAGCGAGAGCGCTCACTGGACAAGAAATGGCTCCGATCGACTGCGCATGAAAATGCTCTACCAATCTCACGATTCAGTTACTGAGAGGGATTTAGATGGATGGGATGGGAGAAGTTGGATGGGACAGCTGAAGATTGGGAGGAAGATATGAAATCTAGCAGCCATGGGAGATCTTGGCCCCGCAAATCTCAAAACTAAGAAGCAAGTTTTTTTTTCGCCAGTTATAATAAAGAAGACTTGCTTACAATTTAACAGCAGTTAGCTCTGCGGTCGGACTTGATTTCGGCTCAGGCTCAAGCGAAACACGCTGAGAAACAGCGACCGGATCGAGCGGAACAAGGTGCTGGCGAGAGGGGAGGCGCCCGTGAGCCCTAATCCTTGTCAAGCAACAAGACAGAAACTGTTTCGAAGACCAAAAAAACGACAGGAATGCTTCTTCTTCGTTTTTTGTTTTGGAGGGGTTCTCCTCAAAGAGGAAATCCCCAAGAGAGGGCTGGGTAGCTGGTCTTCGATCCTGCTTGTTAGTAGTTTCACACAATCGAAAATCCTACATCTAAGTGTGGGGCAGCCGGGGGCTTCGATTCCCCGACTTCCTCTCGCTTTGGCCGCCTCAACGTACTACAAAACAGTAGCGACAGCCCAAAACGAATACTGAGTAGCCACGTTGAGAATGGGCACCCCACCAGTGTGCATTTTGATGGTTTGAGAAAAACATAACGCCTCCTCCCACGCCGCCTCCTCCCACGCCGCCTCCTCCCAGCGCCGCCGCCAACAGCAAAACCAGCCCTCTCAAAACTTACCCTAAACACTAGCCTTTAGATATATTTACACAGCATCCTAACCGTCAGATTAGCTGATCCGATGGCTGTGAATTGTTTAAATCTAAGCATGTATGGTTAAATAAAGAAACTCATTAAAGTAAATGCGATAGTAACTATTAACTCATAAAGGTTGGAGCAAAGTCTAATCGTATTAATTTTAAGGCGGACATTTTTTTACTTTTAATATTCCTTTTCTTTTAACTTTTTAATTTCACCTAAAACACCATTTATTAAATTATATTTGAAGTTTAGAACAATCCCAGAGACATTGCAATGACCCTCATATGCCTGTGTGCCAGCTTGCCAAGACCATTGTCGTGCAAAGTAGCTATACCCACGGCAAATATCTTTTTCCCATTTTGGAAGCATTTCAAGAATCAGATGCGCTTGGACGTTCCATAGACACAACAACATGCTTGTCCTTCTCCATTTTCAACATGTTGCAGTTGGTGCGTTGATTGAACATGCTCCAATGAGTTCCATGATGGCATCCTGCAATTTAAGATTTGACGCACTCATTCTGGACAATGAAAGAAAGCTGGAAGAATGGGAAAGTGAAATCATTCTTGGTAACTCCAACCCCAGGCCACCTCATCGTCAGGAGTGTTTCCAGACGTTTGCAAGCTTGTCCGAGGCTCAAAAGCCTTGCCTTGAGTGCACCTCTCGATCAGCTGTGCAACCGAGTAGAGAGACTCCCGGAATGAACCATGCTTCTTGCGTGTAACTCCACTTGAGGCATTTCTCGAGATTGAAAAGTAATTTGAAGAAGCTAGCTGGTCGTTCTCCAATTCTAGAGAGCGAGCAATCACCCCAGTTTTCACATATGTAAGATCCTCCTGTTCCTGGGAAACAAATGGGTTGGCACTTGCCGGAAAAGAAATAACTTCTGGAATCGCCTCCAAGTCAGGAGGTTCTTCACACAGCAGCCTTCGATTTGCATCGTCCCACAGTCAAAAGAAGATCTGGGATTTAGTAACTAGAAGCCCTATCCCATGTGCCCAAAGCTCTTCGCTTATCACTTCCCTGAGGAGGCACCAGATAAACATGGCAACAACTACATGGTCCCTTAATGGAGAAATGGTGCAAACTGTTTTGTCCTTGCTCCCATGTAGACTTGCAGATCCATCTTGTTCGCATTCATGTATCCTTGTTGGTTTCTTCTTTGGATTTCTTGTTTATGCTAAGCCTTGGGGAGCATTTGTCTTTTATTCGAGAAAATGAATGGTTGCCAAGGGCAGCCCAATACGAATCCTGATTAGAATCTATTGAGTCCTTACCATCAAACCCAAGTTTTGTTAAGCAGATCATGGCATAAAATGGCAGTTCAGCTTCCCTGTTTAAGTTGCATGGTTGATTCATAAAAGTAAATATGGGGTAAATAATAGTAACTATTAACTCATAAAGGTTGAACAAAGTTTTAATTTTAATTTAAAGGCAGATCATATACCTTTTCTTTTAACTTTTTAATTTCTATTAAATTATATTTGAACTTTTCAATGCTAGCATCTACAGTCATGGTTGTCCTCCATTTTTGACATGTTGCAATCGTTGTGTGCATGCCCACATTGATCAAACAACACTCCAATGAGTTCCACAACAGCATCTTGCAATTTAAGCTCACTGAACCAAACCAAATGGAGTAATGTCGAACCAAACCAAATGGAGCAATGAAGATTTGATAAGCACTCTTAAGGGACAGTTTCATTCCAGCTGATAAGCAAGCAGCAAGAAGAATGGGAAAGTGAAGCTATTCTCAATAGGAGTGTTTCCAGTCGTTTGTAAGCTTGTTTGATGCTCAAAGTCTTGCCTTGAGTGCACCTCTCTATCAGCTGCTCCACTGAGTAAAGAGCTCTTGGAACGAGCCATTCTTCTTGCGAATGCATCATATTTCATTATTTACTTAAAATAAAATTTGTTAAAAAAAATAGTATTATCAAGTTTGGACAGTTATATATGTAGAAAATTCTTATTAGAAAATGAATATAATTACTAAAGTCTTCAGATTATAATACTTACTAGTTGAAATAGCCAATGCTATAGATAACTCTAACAACAAAAACAAAGGTAAGCATCTCTGAAACTCCTCCTCTTGTCTTCCAAAGTACGATCCAAGAAAGAATGCTAGAAAGGGCATGTAAAATGTAGCAGTATATTTTAAATAATTTACTGCAGTTTTCTTTGGATTTGTTTTTGTTGTTAGAGTTATCTAACAATTCTTTTTTAATGTTCTTTTTGCAATAACAATTGGTTGTGAAAAAAATATGCAGATCAGTGTCTTATGAGGAGGAGGAAAGTGTCTTTGCAAACAAAGGTTTCAATAACTACTTTGGCTTTTGCAAAATTTTTTGTGGAAATTTTGCAAATTATCTCTGCGAACGCTCTATGTTGTGAAGTCTTGTAAGCTGGTTGTCATGTCCATACATGCGATCAGGTGTCGCATGCTGCTGTGCAAATCAGGCAAAATCAGGCAAAGTGTTAGGAAGAAATATGCTGAAGTCGAAGTTGCTGAAGACGAAATTGTTGATGACGAAGTTGCTGAAGTCGAAGTTGCTGAAGTAGAAGTTGTTGTAGTAGACGTTGCTGTAGTAGTTGTTGTTGAAGAATCTTGATCGCTAAGGAAAGCAATTGTTGATGATATCTGACGTCGCCTGAAGTTGTAGCTGTCGTTGTTGTTAAAGTAGTCGCCTATTGCTGATGTAGACTAATGTTGGTGATGATTGTTGATGTCGCCAGATATCTGAAGCCAGAAATGAAGGCGAATTGATCACTTGAAATCATTCTCAAAGTCGATGCCTGAAGTCGCAGTTGAAGACCGTTGAGGAAGAGCCAAAGTTGATGAAGAAAGGTGAAATCTTGTGCGCCGTGATGAGATGAACAAATGGGCAGTCTGGAAATTCTCGAATTTTTGGAAATTTGCCCGATTTTGACGACCCTAGTGCAAAACAGGGGAGTTGAGCGAATTGGTGAAAAAGAAAGGTGGCGCCGTGGAATTCGCCCAGCAGAATGAAGAATTGTGGGTAGCAGAGGAGGGAGAAGACATTGCTGAAGCGAATTGAAAAAGAAAACCTGTAATTGCACAGAAAAACAGAGGATTGTCTGAAATTTCCTTAAGGGCCAATCATTGAAACGAAAATTGAAGAAATTCAAGGGAATTGAGGAGAGAAATCCATGAGCGCTGTGAAGAGGGGAACGGGGAACACCGTGGTCGCCAAAATGGAATGGGTGATTTCCACTCCAAGGGAAGAAATTGCAGGGAGAGAAAAAGAATGAATTGCTCAGGAAAGACTTATGCAGGAGGAAGATTACAGATGCAGAAGGATGCGAATGCTCTAGGGTAGTCTCTGTCTCTACCCTAACTACCTATATCAGCGGTTATAACTCCCGCTTACATAATGCGCCTGAAGTTAGGCGTGCCTAATGTTAGGCGTGCCTGAGGTTAGGCATGCCTGATGCTAGGGGTGCCTAATGCTACCTTCAGTAAGGCATCAGGCGGAAGTCTGCCTGATACCTGCTTGCCTGAGCTCCTAAAAATGCTATTTTCAGTAACTAATCCATGCTGACGTGACAAAACTCGCGGGAGCCGTGATATGACCTTATCACGAGAACGGTGATGTCGCGGGACTGCAGAGCTGAGGCTCTCAAAAGTTGCCCTAGTAAAGCAATTTCAAGTGCCGAGTAAGTGGCTACCAGCACAGAAGGCGCTGACGTAGCATAAGTGTTGCAGTCGTGCATGGTTATTTTATCAAGTCCTAGAAGCTGCTGATGTGGCAGGAATCGTGAAAGGTGCTGATGTGGCAGGACTTGGGATGTTTGGTGGTTTTCTGCTAATATCACGAGCAGTGCTGACGTGGCAAGAGTCGCGAGTAACACTGAAGTGGCAACTCGCGAAAGATGCTGACGAGGCAGGAGTTGCGAATATCGCTGATGTGGCAGAACTCGCAAAAAATGCTGAAGTGGAGTCACGAGTAACGCTGACGTAGCAGGAGTGCTGATGTGGCAGGAGTCCTAATGTGGCAAGACTCAAAGGGTAAGTTACCAAGGAGACCCAAATCATTAGTTAGTGGCAAACCAGTAAAATACTGACGTGTCAGGACTCCCTCCTGGGGGAAGGTATAGGGGACCAACCTCTACTTTAAAAGTGGAGAGAAACTCCCACCCAAAAACTGGAAATAGATTTCTAGTTTCTGAAGGAGAGTCAGACAAGCTGTGAAGAGGAGCTTTGGCTAAGGTGGAGTCAGGCAGGCTGTAAAGAGGAACTCTAACTAAGGTCGAGTCGGTTGGGAGACTCTAGGTGTTGAAGCCTCAT